CGACCTCGGAGGCTGCCACGACACTCATCGAGTTTTTTACCTTGACGGCAACATCGACAACGACGAGACTGAAGCCGGCCTTATCGTCGCTGAAACGCTGAGGTCGGCGGCCACAGTCGGCACGGCGTCGAAGAAGCGCAAGATTTCTAGCGATTAGTGAGAATTAGTTAACTACTAATCACTGAGTTGACTCACTAATCGCGTCCACGAGTCATTAGTTAGTCATGATTCACTACTGGAAAAAGCAGGGTGACTCGCCGTCCCTGGTACATGCACTTGCTGCTGTGGACGCGCTCAACGGTACGCTCTTCGCATCGGTCGGTTTCAGCGATGTGTCTCGCATTGGTGGTACGACGTGTAATCAATCACTCGGTGGTAATCCGACCACACGGGACAGATGGTGCCATACCAGATGCCGCCTCCAATGATGGATGTCAATTTTGTCATTTGCGCGTGATGCAGGTGTGTCGCCCAACATGCACCCTGCCCTTGAATTACACCCGAAGGACATAGATCTTTCGCAGCACTGCAAACGCACGCGCGGGTGGTTCCAACGAAGACCATTTTGCGGTGTAGAGACGCCATTGCTTCTCAGTCCGTTCCAATGTACATGGTGCGAGCCATATTGCACCCTGGTATGCAGTATCTCGTTGGTTGCAGCGGAGACTGTGCTTTTTTCCATTGGCACCTCGAAGAAAAACCGTGACCAATAAGCGACACGGCTCAACACACAATCTGAGTCTGACGCAAGAGAGTTCTATGTAATACCGTACAGCGTAGACACATCGATTTATTGCATGTTCAAAAACGAGTACACATACGCTTGCAGCCGGGTTTGAAATTCGTGGCACCGGGCACGGACGACACGCTCGACAGCCTGGATCGTTGGCGGTATCTCGAGCGCTCTTGTGAGCTCGATCAAATCAATAGGACCAAGGGACGACCGCGGGTGGTCCATGGAAAAATAAGCTTTGACGCACGTGGTATGGTCGGTCGCTTTCGCGATCGATAGCCTACCACCATCAATCGATAAAGAAACAAAAACATGATGCAAAGATCACAAATGCACAGTACCAGAGTTGACAGCCCGTCGTCCAGAGCGGTGCATCGATCGGTTGCATCTCGTCGTCCGTGATTGTTCGCAAGACAATCGTTGTGGCTTTGGAATCGCGCTGCGTAAAGCGGCCGTAAATGCAGTTGCCCACAAGCCATTGGGTCGGACTCAGCGCCGTGGTCTCCCGGGCGTACACAATGTCAACCTCGGGCGACGTGACCACGACCGACATGGTCGACGAGTGCACCGCATATGCGGCTTGGGCCATCACCCACGCGTCAACGATCGACTCAATCGCGTGCGGCAGAAAGAGCTGCGCGACTCCCACAAACCCGCCGGTCGGCTGCGCGCGGACAAACGAAGCATCCTCGGGGCCACACGCGTCGGCCTGCGCGAGCGCCGTGTCGCGCTGGTGGTACATTTGCATCGCGAGCCACTTGACGGCAAAGTGGCGCGGCAAGACATCACCACCAAATAGGCGTGGCGACCGCGACCAATGGCTCGGCGACATCTACCCACGGAGTAACAAGTTTATTTGTCAAAACCGATTGGTGCTCGTACCGGATCCAACGTGCGCTGACTCCACGCGTGCAAGAGCTCCAGGACCGCAGCGTGGTCATTGACGCGGCGCCAGAGCTGGCGGTTGGTGTGGACGCACTGCAGCGTCTCGTCGGCCAGCGCGCGAACGATGTCGGCCCACGGCAGCAGCGTCGTCTGTCGCGTCTGGAGATGCAGCAGCTTCTCTTGAAGCGTGTGCATGTACTGGGTGAGGTATGCGTTCTCGGTCATGACAAGCTTGGACGGCAGCGGCTTCTTGGTCGTCTCAGCTACTGCCATGCCCATGCTTTTGCGCAGTGCACGTTGTGAAATGACGGCGATGGATTTTCTGCTGCGTGGATGTGCGTCACGCTGGCGGCATGTTTCTTCCAGCCACCACGTGGCGCCTGGCGATCGTCTCATTGACCACGCTTGGCCGACGGGTTCGCAGCAGATGGCTTCATTTGAGGCGCCGAATGGGCAACTTCACTATCGTCCCTAGCATGTACAACTCTCGTCGACGCACTATCTATCGCACAGAATTGAGACCGCGCGCTCGCGCCCACACGACAATAAAGAGCCCACAATTTGCTCAAGTATCTGCAGAAACCCCGCCATCGAGGAAGACGTGGATCTGATTGGCTCTAAAAGGAGGGTAAAGGCAATGGGGTTGCGTTTGGCTCGCTTGTGAGTTTGCGAGGGTTTTGCGAATATAGCAGGCATATTGCGGGGTTTTGAGAAATACTCGTTCTAGAAGATCGCCGAGTCATGCACGGCCACGTGGTTTGGGTGGTCATCCCACCGCCGCGAAAGATACATGGTGTGGCGGAGCCGCCGCAATCACAGTCCAGGCCGAGCGGCATATCGCAGCCGTAACGGGTTGGTGTTGCTACCAACTGGAACCGTACAGCGCATTTCGCACAGTCTGCAGTGCAGACTGTGCGAAATGCGCTAGAATAAAAGAGCAAGCGTGTCACTCTGTCGAGGTGTCGTATGCACGCCGCAGCTAGATGTACCGTACAAGCAACGAATCAACCCAGCGGGGGTGCGCATGATTACCGGCAAGTGATCTGCCACAGATGCCTCATGCTCTGGAACTTCCAGTGCATGAGGCGAACGACCAACGTTCCAGTCTGGGACGTTAGCCAACCATCGGCGACAAACTAGCATGCACCCAGAAGGAAAGATATATAGCTTAAAGTTGTAAACGGGATATAAGGCACGTCGCCACGAGGCCGTGACGGTGCAACGCCATGCTTTCTCCTGCCATCCATTCGTGTCCCAGTGACCTTTGTTGTCGTGTCGCGGCCACGGCAACACACATCTTCGTTACTCGAGGTCACGGGTTCGATCCTCGACGTCGACAGACTTGATGAAAATAGCAACCTGAATACCACTGCTCGTAAAGATCAATATGCAAATGCTCATTGTTGGACTGCTAATCGCAATTACACATCCATGTACTCGAGTACCAGCGCTGGACATGCAGCGGCGACATGATCAAGGCGAGAGAACTCATGTCGCCAACGTTTTTTAGGTGACGTCATTTGTATGCCACACCACGTTTGGCCCTTGGACAGCGACGGCCCTTTAGGTATTACTGTAATAATACATGGTGTATTGCTCTTGGCGTCTGGTCTCAATATTGTCGCAAGAGGCCACGGTGGCCTCTTGCGGTGGCCTGGCCACCACACCAATCGGCAGCGAGCTACTGTGGTCCTTTCAATAACGAATAATACATCTCAGACTTCCTCATGAAGCAGCCATCAACGGCTACTAGTTCATGATAATCGCGTCCCCCGCTCCGATTAGTGTAGTGTGCACGAGCAGGCTGCAGTACCCGGTACGGAGACGAGCCAAGAGGCTCTATTGAAGTACATCGGTACAATGCGACAAGAAAATGGAAGCCAATCACAAGTAGAAGCGCCAATCGAAAGTACAAAAGCATGACGGGGGACAGACAGAGTTTGCATGTCCGCTTGATATGTTCCCAGGCACTCGCACCAGCTGACCCTCGAAACCAAAAACCACCTTGGTCTCGGCACTACATAGTCGACAACTTGTGGAGCGTCACTGGGACGCCAATGCAGTCGAGACGGGGTGGTGCTTGTCGACTTCTTTTAGTCAGCGGTTTAGACACTGGTTTTCCGCCAGGTAGATTCGGGTTCGCGTCCCGGAGAGAGCGCCACTTTCTGATTGATGTCATGGAAAGTGAGGTTATCACACGGGGCTGTCTCGTGATGCCCACCGCTCAATTTTCATGCGACCCCGTCCCAACAGCTCTTGGAACCATCGATCGACCCAGATCCACAACAGCAACGCCTCTAGGAAGGAGAGTTTTTGCGACGCAAGAAGCTCAAGACAATCTTTTCAAGAGCTGAGCTAGGCAATCTCTCTCGTCATTTCGACGTCCGATAAGCACTCGACCACTCCTCCCCCGAGGCCGTGGTGGTAAGACCAACCGCACGCCTTTACATGTTAACACACCTGTTCTCCTATGTATCGAAATGAAAAAAACAACACAACACGGTGGCCTTCTTTCCCCAAATGTCTAAATTGGTTTCTTCTCAAACACCGTTGTATCAGCTCTGCAGTTGCTGCTCGAGGCGATTGCGCGCGATGACCGCCTCCAAAACGAACTGCAAATGGGCGTCAAAAATCGCTCGCAGGTAGCCTTGCCGCATATAAAACCGATGTTGTAGCCGCTGCAAAAGCACGGCCTTCTCGCACGCCGCTGGTAGGTTGGTCCATTTCACAAAGTCTTGCAGCCGCACAAAGCCGCGGGTCGTCGCGGGGTGGCCCATCACATAGACGCTTCGGACGCGCGTGCCGCCATTTAAAGGCTCGAGGACGTTCCTACACCACCCGATACCGTTAATCGTACAATGAAGAGCGGTTGCCGTCGCTGTACGTACCATTGTTTACTGTCGACGCTCCACTGGTCGGGGTCCAGCGGGTACATTTCATCGTGCAAGAGAGAGCGCACGACAATGACCGACTGATTGGATGCGCAGTACCGGCCATACACGCTGTGGCCTAAAATGGTTTGGTGGTCGCGCCCGACGTCCTCGCGCGCGTACACCACGTCGTTCTCGTCATCACATACTATCCAGTCGTCCAGTACAAACGAGCCCGACTGCTGGCAGTGGGCGAACGATCGCTCGGCGATCCAATAGGCGGTCGACGCGGTCGCGAGGTCGCAGTCCAGTGTGCGCGTGCACACGCCTTGGATCTGGAAAAGGGTTTTCTCGCAGCTCACTTGGTACCGCGCGGAGGGCTCGGGCGATTCCGAGTGGCTTAAGACATTGCTGACGCAGTGGTAGAGCTGGTCGGCAAGCCACTTGTAGCCAATGCGCCGGGTACTATGTGGTCCGTGAAACAAATAGGATTCGGACCAGCTCGGTTGGTGCGACGGCGTCTATAACCGTTCGTTGGTACGGTTACGAGAGTTGGGAAAAGGCGACAATACCGGCGCGGGCGCAGTCGCGTACACCCAGCGCTTGAGGACGCTCACGAGGAGGACATGCGTCTCGAGTTGCTGGCGCAGCGAACGGTGATCGCGAACCGCCTCAAGCATCTCGTCCTGGAGCGCGCGGGCGACGTCAGCCCACGAGAGAAGCATCGATCGGTGCGCGCGCAAGACCACGAGGCGGCGCTGGAGCTGGCGAGCATACGCCGCCAGCGCGTCCTTCTCCGAGACGCGGTCGCCTCGCTCCATCTCAGTACGAAGATGGAATATACTCTGGCACAACAACGGGATGCGAGGTCGTCGTCCATAGGGTTGCTGGTGCGGTAATCGAACGTACCAGATGTTGACGCCCGTCGTACAGACACGGCGGCAACAGCTAATACAACACAGCACTCTGTGCGAATGAGAAGGATATCGTGTCCGTGTCTGTGTCTTTCCCGCAACGACGACGACGGCAACGGTTGGTAGCGTGTCCTTTTGCACTGGATTTGTTGGCAGGCGTACTAGGTCACTTGATCGTTTCGCATGCCAGGGCCGATGACTCGCACCGGCGTGCCACGTGGTGGGCGGTTGCCTCGTCACGGCATCTGGCGCGCTGCTCATGTGCAAGCAGTAGTCGGTCATGGCCACCGCATCGCTCGATTGGCTCGTCGTCACTTCTAGCTGCGTTGGATCTCAGCTGCGATATCAGCGCAAGTGGGATATTCGTGGTTTGCAGATAGTAGTAGACGTCGTCGTCGTAGTGCCGGAATGTGCGGCGGCTTAATAACTCATCACCGTATCAAGTACGAGCGAAAATTGAGTGCCACCACCATAGCACTCTTGTTGTAGGTCGTCGACCACGATCGACTCGAGCTCCGCACGAGTTGCTATCGTGTCGCTTGCACAGCATGATATTCTGTTGAGCTTGTGAATCGAAATCAATTGCACCCATTCGAGACATCTCACAAGACGCGTACGCTCCCTGATCCTTTTTTTTCTTTGATTGGCATCATGAGATTGCGCAACGTCTTGGGTCATCGCCGACCAGCACACAGCGCGTCGTCAGGGACGACTGCGTTTACGATATTAAGGACGTGCCTTCTTGTAGCAAGCGATGGTGTCTAAAAGAGCTTGCCAGCGACGATGCCGGTAAACACGAGCGCGCCAAAGTACTTGTTGGACGCGAAACGCGTCTGGAGGTTGATCGGGTCGTCAAGCTTGGCCGTGTTGACTTGCCACGCGAGGTGGCCCGCGGCGGCCGCCAGCGCCCCGTAGAACGGAGCGCCCATGTCCACCATGTACCTAGATGCAATCAATGGCTATTGGACACGCAGCACAACGATCGAGAAACTACCCCGAGAGGCCAAGACCAGCAATCGTAGCGACCGAGAACGCGTTCAGAATCGGCTGCGTCTTGTCGGCAAAGAGGAGCGCGGTCGACTTGACACCAATGCGCTTGTCGTCCGTCTTGTCCTGACATCAAGAAACAACAATATTGTCCTTGTCATATTCTCCACAAACGAGGGGAGACTACCTGATGCGCATACAGCGTATCGTACACGAGCGTCCACGAGACGCCGGCCGCGTAGAGTGGCAGCACAACGCTCCAGTCGCAGCTGCCGTGCACCGCCGCCCACCCAACGAGCGCGCCTAGACCGCGTCTGAGCGTGCCACGTCATGACGATGCCATGTACCATAGTTGAAGGTGAGCCCGAGCATGGCTTGCGGCCAGTACGTCACCCGCTTCATGTACGGGTAGGCCGCCACGAACACGAGCGACGACGCACCGAGGCCGATCGTGTACGGGTTGAGCTGCACGAGCACACCGAGCCTAGACCATTCTCGTTCGTAACGCCCGTCTGTTTTTTCTCTTGTAAAAGAGCGCCAGGCGTACCCGGCCGACAATTGCAGCGCGAGGAAGCGCCAGGCTTGCGGGTACGTGAGTGCGCCCGACGCGAGCGGCCGCTGGTTCGTGCGCTCGACCTGCTTGTCAAAGTCCTTGTCCCACATGTCGTTGATCGTGCAACCGGCGCCACGCATGATGAGCGCGCCTGCTGCAAAGAGCCCGAGCAGCTTCGGGTCCGGGAACGCGCCCATGGGGGCAGCGAGCGCTGTGCTCCAAAACGTCGGCCACAGCAGCATGTAAGTGCCTAGCGGTCATGCATATCAGCGTAGAGCCACGCGTTGTCGTCTACCTGCAGGGCGGTTCAAGCGCGCGAGTTGGATGTACGGCAGCATCCACTGCGGCGCGTGCTGCTCGGCCCACGTCTGCTTTTCGATGGCAAACTTGGCATCGGGCTTGTCGGTCTTGTCTGTCGGCAACGGTGGCAGCGAGCTCATGCTTCGAAGCACGAGTGGCAGTCGGCGCGGCGCCACATAGCAAAGGCGGTGGGCCGACGGGCGAAGGACACTGGCCGTAGCGATGGACCGGCGCGCCAAGAGAGCTGCCATGGTTCACGTGTGTGATTGATTGCGCGCAGTTTGCACCAGCACTCGTAACCGGATGTATTTCCGGATAAAATGCAGACAGGCGGTCGCGAGTGGATAGACGCACGCAACGCGTGTGGCCAAAGCCGTCTTGAGCACGGCATCCTCGAGGGACAGCACACGTATGTATACGTGAGCAACGTCCTTGCTCGTTCTTCGAGAGCTTGATTCGACTTGTATATCTCGCAAACGCGCCGATGGACGACATCGCCAACAGCAAATCGATACTAGTTTGGTGTAATTAGAGAGTCGCCAATGGATCGACGGTCGCCTTCGCCTCCTGGGCTGCTATCGACACCCGACACATGTCTACTACTAGTACGTTCAAGACACCTTGTTGCAGCAGTCTCTCCAAGGAATGTGCTATAATACGAACATCTACAATCTGAACCAAGTCGTGCCGAGGAGCGCGCATAAGCCAATACAAATTACTAGTATATATTTAGCAACTTGCAAGTTGGCGCCACTTTGCGAAACGACGGATGACACCGGCCACGCAGCACGGGTCTGTCTATGGCGCGTTCGCCGAGCTCGTGACCAAAGACGACTGCGCGAAAGCGCCGGCTGCCAAGTACCACCTTGTGCTTCTTGTATCGCCCAACCTTGCCCTTTACACCCGGCAGTCCACAGCCTGCGCCTGCACGAGGACAGAGTTACTGCCGTGTCCGCACGTGGCATCGATCCACGACTATTCTCTTTTGGGTACGATTCCGCTCCATAGTCTTTGCACCATCTATCTGCCATACACCACGCGCGGCTCGGCCATTGCGACGCGCCGCAGCGACCTCCTCCTTCACGCGACCGACCAGACGAGTCTCTGGCTCGCGTTTCCGTACAACGCCGCACGCGGCGCCTTCTTGGACGCACTGGTCGCTGCCATGGCGCCGCTAACCGTGCCGGTTGAGAGTCTCGACCTTGACGACATTGAGAACGCGGCACTCGTCCCACTGGCCCTCCACGACATCAACTTCACCTACCCCTCGTACGACACGGCACCTGTTGGTCTATTCGGTGCGCTAAAACTAAAATAACGTGTGTTTTAGGCCCCACAAGATGGCCGCATATGTCCCGCGCCGCCACGACGAGGCGAGAGACGACGGCGAGGTGTCGAGTGAGCCCGAAGTCGACCTCGACTTGTGTCATCGGCACGCGCCTGCGTACGAAGCCCAGATCATGACGCTCTACATGCAGCTGGACACGAGCAGCAGTGCCGCGCCGTCATCGACCACCTCTGTGCTGCACGCAGGGCTCCGGGTCGCGCTCGTGCAGCATCTCAAGCACGCATTGGAGCTGGAAGCTGCTTCGCAGTCGGCAAGTGCGGTAGCACCGCAGCCCATGGTCGTGTCCCTTCTCCTCATGGTGCTCGAGTTTGCGCTACGTCTCGAGCTCGTCGACGTGCAGATCGCGGCAACTTTAGCGATAGCCGTTGTCGACACCAAGTTGAGTCGGTTCACGCAAGCCCACGCGCACGTCGAGACAGGGCTTCGGTGGGTGACCCCTCGCGTTCCCCATCTCAACCTGACATGCATCTAGGCTTGGTATTGAGATTGAGCACCGAACGCTGCTGTTTGTCGCGTACCTCTGTCTCTGCGACCTATACGTCGCGCAGCGCCACGCAGAGCGCGCGATTGAGTTTCTACACCGCGCCAAAGACTATGCGCTACCCGCCTGGAAGCTGAGCTTTCATGCCAACCTCCAAATCCTCCAGGCCATCCCGGTACACCCCTACGACGTCATTGCAGACGCACCGAGTTGAAAAAATGTGTAGCCGGTGCCCTTTTCCGAAAAGCTCGAAGCGTGGTGGGGCCTCTCAGACGAGCGCGCCAAATTGCGGTCCGAGGTTCGAACGCAATTTGGCGCCACGGTGCTCGAGTCGCTGACCGCCGACCAGCTGCTTTTGGCGCTGCCACCTCGCAGCGTCCTCGTCAAAGGTATAGATGTGCACAGAAGAATGTCTTATCTGTGCAAGACAGATGTATGCAGAAGTTACCTCGTGGTCTATTAGTCGACAAGCTCGTGCAGTATCGCATCGGGTACGAAGGCGACTGGACAGTGCGGGACCTCCTTCGGGCGGCGATCCAGCGCCACGAACGCGGCCAGTCGTCGTCCAAGTGCCTTGTTGGCTTTAAGGATCCATCGACGTGCAGCGGCGACCGTGTCCTGCCACTGCATTTGCCCCTGCGCCAATGCCGCCTCCACCTTGGCCTGGAAGCGGTCATCGAGCCGCGCTCAACGCTGCACGTACGTACACCCTCGCAGCTTCTACCCCATGCCATGCTTACCACGCGACTAGGCGCCGACTGGCAATACGCCCCATGGCTACATCTCGTGCTCGCTCTGCCAGCAATCGATTTCGATCGACGCGGTCGAGGAGCACTCGCAAATCTGCTTTCAGCAGCGCCATCCACCGTCGTGGTTCGTGTAGAAGCTCTTTGGTCGTCTTTACGCGACGTGTGTTTTGAATGTTTTAAAGCGTCAATGTCACAGGCATCACCGAGAGGTCCTTGAGGTTCAGGAGCACAAAAGTGCCTGTGCTTGCGAACGATGGCACGCAGACAAGGCGCGTTCTCTGTTGCTGGGGACCTAGAACCGCCGATGACGACCTTCGACTCGCACAGACTTGCGAGCGTACCGGTCACGAGCTTGGTCGCAAAGGACGGTTGGTTGCCCGCAAACAACACATGGGGACACGAATCGAGGACAAAGACGTCGTCGCCCGGCGACGGGTAGCAGTCTACAGCGACTCGTATACTGACACCGCAGCAGACAAACGAGAGGGTGTACCCAGAATATCAGGCGCCGTCGGTGCCAAGTGCCGCCACAAAAGCAGGTGCTCGAGCGCCTCGATCGGCGTCTGCCCCAGCGAGCACTGCAAGACGCTGTCGACGGGCTGACCTGACGTGCCGACAAACGTGACGCCGTCGATCGACGAGGCGTAGGGATTCGGGACGAGCGAGCACGTGGCAAAGCGCATTGCGTGGGGAAGCAGACACGCTGCGAGCGGCTGCTGCGGCAGCATGACGTTGCTAGGATCCCACGCACCCGGAAGGATGTCCACTGGCATCGTCGACGTGAGCGACGAGAGCACGAGGTCGAGTTGCTGCAGCGGTTTGACCTCGAGCTCGCTCGCACTCGTTTTCTAGGACATGTGTCGGTCCCGGGACGAGGATGTATCGATGTACCTTGACCGGCTCGAGGAGCACGTCTCTCGCGGGCTTGGCCAGCGAGTTGCCGGCAATGATGGTGTGAACAATCGAGCTTACAAAGGCCTTCTCATCGTCTGCGCCAAGGCGACCGGCAAGGTAGTCCATGGCCAGCGCCGTCGCCACCGGGTGCTGCTGGACACCGGACGCGCCAAAGCTCAAGCCCGAGAGCAAGGCTACGTAGGCATCGTCCGAGCCTACGCACGCATGCCATGAGTGTCATCGCATGTAGAGAGGCGGACGTACGCGCTGGCAGCGGCGTCGGCTGCGGGGCGGCAGCGGGCAGGAAGATGCGCGTGACGGCAAAGCCTTCGCCATCGGGGCCCATCTCGCCTTGGACGCCGAGAATGACACCGGTCACAAGCGCTGCAATGTCGATCTTGCCCTTGAGCGCGACGCGGCCGCTCTCGTCTTCGAGGAAGAGCTCGTCGGTCTCGGACGAGAAGGCGTCCTCGGTCTCTTCAATGGCAAGGATTTCGTCCGCGACAAACTCGTCGAGCAAGTTTGGCTTGTTCTTGAGCACCTTGAAGATAGTACCCGTGATGATGCAGACGTCACCGACGCGCAGGTCGATGATCTTGGGCAGGATCGAGACGCCGGCAGCTGCCACGTCGGGGTCGGCGAGGACGGCTGCACGGACCTGTGGCTCCAGCGCCTGGAGGCGGCTCATGTACATGTGGGCGAACTGCATGTCAAAGGTCTTCTTCTTCATGACGAAGCGGTCATGGGCGCGGGCGGTCGTCGACGGCTTGCGCTCGAGGGCCATGGCTGTGGTCGCGGGAAACTGGTTGCGCGGCCAAGTCTCTCTGAAACAGCATAATTATCGATATTTAATTCCACAGGATGTTTATATTAAGTACGCATAAAGTGCATGGCATTGAATTACCTCTTTCTTTGTATAGGTATACTCTATTTTATTAAAGGAGCGGCGTCGCGGCCGATTTGGATACGAACTTTAGCGAGACAAATGGTTGCGATTGGCCAAAAAGATATCAAAATCGACGACCCTAGACCGACCGGCTAAACGCACGCCATTTGCCTCGACAGCTTGAAGATGGCGCCAGTCGTCAGCTAGCCTCCGCCTCAGACGTGAGACCACTCTCTACACGTAGCTTCGCATTGTCTACACGAACGTCTCTCAGCCGCAGTCGACCGAGTATGCGACTGCCGTCGCACAGTCGCTCGTCAACTTGGGGTTGAAGTTGGCGGCAAGTGCAACATAGCGCACGACAAGACGGCAGCATGCAGGTGCAACATTGCTAGCATTGCATTCTCAAGAGACTAGACGCAGGCTCATACACACGCACTAGAGTCTCGCGTGTTGCTCGTCGTGCTCGATCTTCCAGCTTGCTGCCTTTGGTGCGGAATGGCCACGTCGTACTGCCTTTCACTCGAACCCAGGTCCATCCAGAGACTGCGCTGATGTGTTGCAGTCGTCGCTGCCGCCAGCTTGACACTACTGCTTTGCACCAAGAGCCACCGCCATATCGCTGCAACACGAGCCATTATCGGTCTTGTAACCGGCCAGTTGCGTGTGTGCAGCCATCGTACAACCTGTGAGAATGCATATCCAGTGTGACAAGCAGCGCCTCCGCCGGCTTCATTTTGTCTGGTGGAGAGATGGCGACGAACCTCAATCACGCGTTCCTGCAGGCCGCGCTCTCGGTCCGTGGCGCCGCACCGACGCTCAGCCACAAGCAGCAGGTCACGCGCTTGTACAAGCGCTCGCTCAAGCTCCTCGACAGCTGGGCCATCGACCGCCGCCTCTGGAACGACGAAGCGACCAAGATCCGCGCCCAGTTTGACGCCAACAAGTTTGCGTCGGCGGCCGTGGCCGAGCGCCTGATTCGCGACGCGCAGGCCAAGCTCGTCGAGTTCACGCACCCGGACCCGTACGTTGTCGTGCACATGCCCGGCGGCTCCAAGTTCATGCGCAACCCGCCGCTGCCGCTCGAGGTGTGCTTTCCCGATGGCGTCATCCCCGACGACGTCGAGGTCTCGCCGCTCAAGGCCATTAATATTGACACGACGCCGTACCGCGAGGACGAGCTCAAGGAAACCGTCCTCGTCGACTTCCCGACCAAGTCGTCGTACTAGACGATGCGACGCCATGGGATGCTCTTGTAATGCAGCACGTGCAATGTCAGTTTGTTCACTGCCTGTAGTCTCGTCCGAGCAAGCATGCGGCCATGAACCTCGGTTGGCCAGGTTCGAGCGTTGACATCGAATCCGCCATACAGGCAGGATCGATTATTCGCCCGCCAGGCTGCTCAGACCGACATCGCCCGAAGAGCAGCGTCGAGCGTGCGTCAAATCGCACCGCTTGCTGCATGCTGCGGCGTGGGTGAACCACGCTGTATTCAACGTCTCGGCGTCGAAACCTTCGTCCTTGGACCGACTGCGCGCATGCAGGACGAGAGCTGCGACGATAGGTCCGCGTGATCTCCAAGCACGATCCATCATACGTAGCTGCTGCGTCAACGGACCTGTGAATGCTTACTTGTGCTGATAGAGCGATAGGTGCCTGTCTTGTTTGGCCGCGCGAGTGAACCTTGCGTGATTCGGTGCAGCACGCAGGTGCGACGAGCCTCTTCGCGACAGCCCGACGAGATGATAGAGCAACTACTGATAGCACTCCAATAATGGGTAGCCCGTGCAAGTTATCGTTGCAGCCGCACTGTAGGCTATCACTGCATCGAGCGCTGGCCTCGACCTCCGTACTGGCTGACAAAAAGAGATTGGGTCTCTTCTGCCTCGTTTGGCGCCTGTCGCGCCAGCCTCTCGAACACCCATGCATGCACGCACGCGCATCTGTCACATGTCATAAAGCGGCACGGTCTATCATCAGTCCATCCTCCACACGGTTCGATGCGCCAAGCGGTGTGCCAAGACAGTACACTACTGCCCAAAATCATCTTGAAGTGTGGCTTGGTTACGCACTGTCGTCATCCGCCGCCGCCAGTTGCGCAGCCAGTCGCGCGCGCAACGCTGCTTCCTGCTCCTTGGCGAGCTTGCGGCGCTCTTTCTGGGACAGGCGCTTCTCGGGGCGCACCTTGAACTTGACGGCCGGCGCCGGCGCAGTAGTAGCCGCCGTGAGCTCGTGCTCGAACGCTTCTTCCCACTCGACGCTGCCAGCTTGGATCGCTTCAGTCGTGTCCTCGTCCTCGTCGCAGTCGTCGAGCGCGTATTGGCACGAGTACCCGAGCTCGGCGCACTTGCCACAGAGCTCCATGTTGTGCCCAATGGCCGTCTCCTTATTCATGTTGCCGTCCTTATTCGGCGCGACGAGGCGAAACTCGGTCGGGTAGCAGGGTTCGAAGCAGTGCTTGCACTTTTGGTACACGCCCGCTTCGCCGCGGGCTGAGCGCCACCGGTGGGCGCAAGCTTGGCAGCCAAAAAAAGCCATGCGCGTCCACGTCGGGGCGCGGTAGGGCGGGGCGCGGCCGTAGCGCAGCATCACAAGAGTTTTCCGTCGGCGGCAAGTTGGCGACTCTCAGCTTTGTCGCGACGCACGGTGATTGGTGCGTTCGCACTATATCCTGTCACAATCGATCCTTTGACTTTGTTTTCCTTTCAAAATCAATATTTGCGTTGCCACGTCATGGTGGTCGCTGGCCATCATCAAGCCGCCACGTTTCGTTGGTGCTGTGCGCTCTCAGATTGCACTTGACTCTTCTGACTTTGCACTTGAGCTGTGTTGTAGAGCTCGTGGCATGGGCGTGCAGTTTCGCGCTCTAGATTCAAAGCGTACTATGCATGCGAGGAAGCCATCGTGCAGAGTGGTAGAGGCAAGATTGGGAGCTGCCATCAACTTGGGGCAGTCGCAAGAAAAACAACATTTGCGCAACGCCGATCAGTTTTGCGATTTTCTACGATCTTATTGCGACGGTTCACACACCTTGGCGTTCACTTTGCAATTTACCTCGAGCCACAACGATGCCGATTCTCCTCCAGGACGACCACCAGCACACGGCGCCGATGACGTTTACCCCGTCCCAGCCCGAGCGGTCGCCGGCCAAGCCGGTGACGTCGCCGCTGACGCACGACGAAGACGAAGCCTGCCAGTCCATGTTGCTCGTCAACTACATTATCTAACAATGCCTTTGTCTACTCTACAACAGCGTATGGCGCCGCAGCGATTCGCAAGCACAGCACTATGCGATGACGTGCGTGGCCCTTGGCGCGTGTAGTCGTTGCTGCGTGTTGACGTCCGACCTCGCGCAACCCTTGAACATGCCAATTCCTCTTGGTATCCATCGGCTTCTTTGCTGCATCTGGTTCGGACGTCGTGCTACGTCCGTGGCCTGCCACGTATTGGTTGTCTCGTGGTGTTGAAGCTGGGTTCCAAGAGCAAAGAAGGATCAGACGACGATGCTTACGCAATGCGTTCAAGAAGAAAAAAGCACATCTCTGTCGAGAGTTCGTAGTCCCTTGTTTCTGGCGGCGCTTCTCGGCCGCGAGGTCGACCGTTGTTGACGCAGCACCAGAGACGGACAGGCGGTACTCTTGAACAGAATTACGCCCCAGGGTACGACGACACGTGTGTGCTACGCTCATGTCCCTCGTGCTGCCAAAAGGCGCGCAGGATAAACCGACATGCGTCGACTCGGCGAGTGGGCGCTCTCAGAAATCAAATAAAAATCAAGTCGATTGAGTCGGCCTTACGCACGCAACGCCGGCGTCGTCATCACGCATCGTTGCCACTTGGCTTTACACAATGTAGTTGAGAACAAAGAGCGGGGTTGACTTGGGCGTCGGCGCCTTGGCAGCGTGCACGGCGGTGACACTGCTCGTCTCGTTGGCCTCGACCGCACCATGCGTCGTCGAGTAGTCGGCGGCGTCCGACGTGCCGTACTCGACGTGGTCGTCCTCAAAGCTGGGCATGTTGCTGGTTGGTTGGTTGCTGCTGTGGAGCAAAATGAATTCTGACATTTATCGTTGGGCTTTCTTCTTTCATGGAACGATAAGTCCGTTTCGATGCTTTTTATAAAGGGTTTTAACAAGCAGCAAATCATCGACCGAGCTCGGCCCGACGTGGCTTTTAAAACTCGGACGGCAGCGCCTCCGGGGCCAACGCCGGATAGTGCTGCCGGATCGCGCTCAGAATCAGCGCGTGGGCCGCAATGTTGCCGGCGCGGTTAAAGTGCAGACCATCCGAGAGGAGATGCGGCATGTTTTGCATCGCCGTCCAAAAGTCCACGACCGGCACCTGGCGCTCAGCGCCGACGGCGACGCAGGCTGCCGCGTACTTGCCAGCCTCGGCGTTCGACCGGCTCTTGATGCGCGTGTCGTCGATCGGCGGCGGCGTCAGCAAGAGGAAGCGGCAGTCGGGAAAGGTTGCGCTAAGCGTTTGCAGCAGAATCTTGAGGTTGCCGGCGTACGTCTCGAGCGGGACGTGCTGCGGCTCGGGCAAGAGCGCGGCGTCGTTGGCGCCGAGGAAAATTGTTATGAGCGACGGCGGCTTGTGCGACCACTCGCGCCCGAGGAGCGGGAGCTTGGGCACCCAGTCCCTACACAGGACGTGCATAGGAGGGCGGCGACGCGATCAAGGGAATACCGGGTCGTCCAGCCGCTGCAGCCGCGGTTCACTACGTCGGCCTTGCGGACGTAGTCCTGCGTGAGCATGACCTGGTAACCCATGATGTCGGGGTTGGCGCCATTCTGCGTGATCGAGTCGCCGAGCGTGACGATGATCGGAGCACCAACGACCATTGTGGCTGCTGGTAGAGCGGGATCTGGCTGGCCGCAAGTTGGCAAGATCGCCACTTGTTGACTTCGAACTTCGATTTTGCGATCCAAACCGGCGGTTGCTGGCGTGCTTGGCATCGCCACGAAGCCATGTGCCTACAGAATGGAAGGAACAACCACAACACATTGCGTCGGAGCAACAACAATGATGCACCTATGCACTGATACTATACACAAACGGGAGCCAAAGACGAGATGGACAAGTTCTGCATGCCACAATTTTTTGGGGGCCTTATTGAAAGACAGTCGGGAGCGCGTCCGGCGTCAAGGCGGGAAATTGCTCCGCGATGGTCGTCGTGAGCCAGCGATGAATTGATGTATTGCCTTCGACGCTCAAGTGTAGACCGTCGCGAAGAAGCTCGGGTCGGCCTTGCATCGGCCGCCACACATCGAGCACCGGAACGCCCTTTTTGTACCCGACAGCGATGCATGCGTCAGCGTACTTGCCAGCCTCGACATTCGAGCGACTCGCGTACTTGGCGTCTTCGATCGCTGCGGGCGTGATCAAAAGAAAGCGCGAATCGGGGCTCGCAGCACGCAGCGTGTCGACCATGGCCGCCAAGTTGGCCGCGTACTCGTCGAGTGGCACATGCTGGTGGGCATCGCGCGCGTGCGGCAGCGCTGCGTCGTTGGCGCCCAAGAAAATCAAAACGAGTGCAGGCGCTCGGTGTGCCCACTCGGTCAGGAGCAACTCAAGCTTGGGCAGCCACGTCCTACACCGTTCAGCACGATGACACGTGGCATTGTGTCGGGTACAAACCTGGTCGTCCAGCCGCTGCAGCCGCGGTTGATGATGTCGGCCTTGCGCACGTAGTCTTGACACAGCAGCGAGACGAACCCATTGGCGCTAGCGATCGCGCCTTGCTGCGTGATCGAGTCGCCAATGACGACGATGGCAGGCGTCCCGGTCGACATGGAACTTTGCTTTTTGTATCCGGATCCGGATGTACCACAAGCTTCGAACTTCGTCTTCAAGTTGAGGTTCCGGACGGGTCGCTTCCGCTCGCGAATATGACAACACGTTCGAACTCGACGCCATCTCAGATCGAGCGTCAAATCGCTGGGCTACCCAAGCTATAATACATCCTGTAGCATAATGGCAGCACTTTAATTCAATGGCCAGAGAATAAAAGGAGTACTCGGCACGTGTCCCTGTCTGCCTGTGGCCCGCAATCGACGGCGACGCTTCCGGGTGACCTTTGATGTTTTTCCAGCGGTCGCATTTCGCGCCTTTTCCCAAGATCGTTGTCATTTTGTATCTTTCCACATGAAGCGGTCTGTGTGGATCTCGGTTGCACTACTGCTGGTCGTACTGGCGTCGTCGCTCGTGTGGCCTGCGGCGGCATGGCTCAACTCTAAAGACATCGACTACGAAGCTGTCGAGAAGGCGTGGGAGACAGGCGACATGGACGAAGAGCTCAAGCCCGAGGTCGATTTGATGCACAAGCGTCGGCAAGCCGAAGAACGGTGCGTCTCGTTGTGTCGGAGTTGTCCTGATGTCGCAGCGTAGGCAGAAGCGACCGAATTTTGTCGGCGACGTGGGCATTCCGCAGACGATGCTCATTCTCTTCAAGGACTCGGCGCTGCCCAACTTTGTGCGTTTGTATCCTGAAATTCCCGACCCGACGCACGCGATTGCCGAAATGTGGAAATCGGTGCGTGCATTCGTGGAAGCGGAATGTATCTTTTACGAACATGTAGATGCTCTTCAACGGCGGCATTGAAGCCGAGTTTTTCGAGCTCAACGAAACCCCGGACAAGCTCCTCGTAAAGGTGCAGCGCGGCTGGCTCGCCGAAGACTTGGTCGATTTTCTTGTCAACCAAGAGCAGGTCAAAGAAGTGCTTTGGGACTACGAGACGTACTACCCTCCGGGCACGGACGAAGCGGCCATGGAAAAAGAGAAAGAGCGACTTCGACAAGAAGCCGTTGCGAAAGAAAAGCTCAAGCAGAAGAAGAAAAAGAAGAAGACCGCCAAGACCGAGTTGTGAGGCGCTCGAGTCCATTCGACGAGAACAAAGATGATGATGATATATGCGTCCCTATAAGCTCAATGTTATCGACTACAACTACACTACACTACTGTAAACCTTTTAACATCTCGCCACCCCCTCTCACCCGTTTGAGCCGATTTTCCCCACATGAGCTCACCAAGCCTGACTTTGACGCTCACAATAACTCACCACCTCTATCGAGCAAAAACTAGCGTTACCGAGTCCTAGCTGAGGCAATGCGGCTTCCTATCAGCCCCATCGAGCTCAGAGCTTAGATGAGCCTCGAATCGATCTTTCCCGCTGTTGCAACGGTTCAATAATGACTCACCACCGACAATTTAAACTATAACCATGGGCGCTTGGCGTTTTGGCCGATTTGGGTGGTGACTCACCAACCAAATCGGCCAAAACCTCACCACTGGTAGGTATTCAAAAACCTCACGTCAAGCGAATATTATTCGCGTGGCGCGTAAATATTATTTACGTGGTACCTCGTCTCAGTGGGGTTTCCCAACTGCCAACGCCGATCCGAGCCCTGTACCGTAGCTCCACCCACTAATCAAATCGATGAAGGCGCACCACGTGCTCTGCCGCAACAAAGTGCAAGAGGCCGACCTGCGGTGAGTGCTGGTGCGATGACCACCAGCACTCACAGCTCCAACGAGATCCACAACCCTTCGACAAGATCGGGATCCGAATCATCCGGATAATGTCGTCATGACCAATCGCAGCACACCAACACTCACGCGTGTCAACGTGGCCGAGTGGACGGCGGATGCTCATTTCCAATTTCACCACGAGACACATGAAGAACGCTCTGCCGTCGCACCTTTCGCACCAAGCTGCGCTTGCTGTCATCTTGCACGAGTCGAGCCCGCACTACGACGGCGTCCAGCGGGTCCGCGCGGCCCACGACAAGGCGTTCCAGCGCTGGCCGCCGCACATCAACCTCCTGTACCCGTTCTTGAGCGCGCCGAGCGAGCAGCTGCCGATGATCGTCGAGCGCGTGCAGCGCGCCGT